TATCAAATACCCAGAACTCAGCACTGGCAGTAGAGAATGAAAGGGCTCCGTCAATAGGAAGAAAAAACGGCACAGGTAACGTCTGGCACAGAAAACAAACAGGATATCCTTTAAAAGGCCAAAATTGCAAATACAGATTAACAGGGTATGCAATTTCATGCTGGGCAATGCACCTGTCAGAGGAAAAGAGGAACAGACCATGTCTGAAGTATTAAGAATTCAGTGTTTAACACTACTTCCTGCTCTGGCATGCTGACCAGTAGAAAACCTGGGTCCTGGCTTAACCCAAATTGCACGCTTAATTTGAGTAGGTGAACTACTTGATCTCTGACTTGGTTGCTTATTCTGTAAAGTGGATACAGCATAGCTGTGTCTCCTGAGTCTCAGAAAAATTTTGCAGACACTTTGTAGCTCTGAAGTGCTGCACAAATCAGAGCATCCCTTTCCTCCTTAACATTAGTTTGACAAAGAATTTTATAAGTTGAGCTGAAAACAGATGACTCTTAAGCAAAGGACTAAGAATGGCGCACACACACAGGTGGTCAGAGATGCAGAAACTGGAACACCTCATAAAAACCACCAGAGGACACCTTCACATAAACACATTATCATAACAGATAGCGCCACTGGTATTAACCGTAAAACCACTTAGTGAGTAGCCTGCAACGACATTCGTCCAAATCCATCTACCAGCACACCCTCGTCAGTGTGTGTGCCTAAATTATTTCTTCAGCACTGTACCGCCTAACAGGATCGACTCTTAAAAAAGCGTTTAGCTACTTGCCAAGCACACCGCTGGCATAGTTAAACTTTTTAAATTGCTAAACAAACATGCAGGGTAGTTGAGATAATCAAGTGAATGTTTGGCCTTCTTCAAAAATAAGATCCAGGAATCTCACATTTTGCTTTATCAGCTTGAGGTCTAGAACAGATCACAGACCTCCCTCTATCTGATGTTGCTCGTCGTTGGTCAACGAGCCCGGAGAATGAATTCTCTCAAACAGTGAGGGCTCTCTGTACTCTTTCGATTCTTAAGCGAAATCAGCGAGGCTTTAGCACCATCAAGTTTACAATAATAAAGGAGAACGCCTCGATCAAGTTTACTAGGCTGCACCAACCACGAGGGACCCCGGAGCGCCCAGAGTGGGTCCTAACGCCTGCGGCCGCCGGACCGAACGCCCTCCCTGAGACCCCCTTCCCAGGACTCCCTCCTCAGGACCCTCTCTCCTCAGGACGTGGGACAGGATGTCCCCCCAGGATCCCCTCCCCAGGACGTGGCTTCAGGACCACACGACCCCCACCAAGACAGCCTCCCCAGAACGCGGCCACGGAACAGGACGCTCCCTCAGAGCCCCTCCTCACGACCCCCTCCTCAGGACGCGGGAGAAGACGCCCCCAGGACTCCCTCCCGAGGGCCCTCTCTCCTCAGGTCGTGAGGCAGGATGCCCCCCCAGGAATCCCTCCTCACAACCCCCTCCCCAGGACGCGGCCTCAGGATCAGACGGCCCCCGCAGGACCT